CCAATGTATTGAAGTTTTCTGATTTTTAGAATGTTGCCAGCTGAATTATCGGCAATGTTAAAAAAGAACAATTGCATGAAGCTACAGACAGCTCCAGTTAGTTTTCAAACCTCCTAGATGCAAACATGCCAGTACATTCTGTGCCAAGTTGTCCTTCTAGGCAATATCAATCAAGTGACTGTTTTCAACAGTTAAGAGCTCCCACTCCCAACCTACATAAAGCAGGATTGACTGGCTGTGACTGTTTATATGTTGCTTTGATTGATAAGCCAGCTGTGCCTACCGCTTGCCCATTTTTGTCTGTTGACTGAATTTGACTATTCATAGTGCTGGCTTAAAATATGGTCTGACCGTTAGTGACTAGGCTGTGTATAAAGGCATGGCAGGGGAAGATGATTGATTTTTTGACTGTCGGTGACTGTTCAGATAGCCGTCTGGATAGCGCATTGCACTGAAAATAACTCAATACAATGAGACGTTTAATGACCAATTTCGTCTACCGAAAATATCTCATTGACATTGAACACATTTAGTTTGTTCGACCATCAACTACGACTCTACAAGATAAACTGACACATTTATTAGTGCAAAATGACGGAAACTGATTTTTTTTTTTAATAAAAAAAGAAAATCACAGTTCCAGCAAACACTTAAGCTAATAGCCCTCAACCACTAGACCCACACCATCAAAGGACAAATACTATAACATGCTATCACATTGAACATCAAACAATGATTTTTTGAAGTGCTAATCTATCTTTAGCTTATCTATCCACTTCATAGCTGGTCACACATACAAAAATTAACCCAGCATTCATAGACAAAATCTTGGGGGGAGTGCCCAGTTTGTTTTCCTGACCAACAGCGGGGCAGGATTAACAAAGGTTTGTGTCAACAGGTAAACAATATACTGGATAAACAGGTTCCCAGGGTTGTGAAAACAGTCATATCTGTGGAAGAGTGCTAGGCTCAAGGTTGATGTAACTTGAACTTTGAAACACTCTGCTTGGGTGAATGGGCTGAGTCATTTATAGTAGGAATCTACTCATTACTCCAAAAATCATCTGCTAATTTACCCATTACGGAAAATTCTTTAAAACTTTAACCTTTAAAGGGAATGCACAATATTTGCTTTTGCTGCAATTTTCAGAAATAAATGGATTTGGAGGATCAGTCAAATTATGGCAAATATTGTTAAACTGACTTGTTTCAAGTTTTGGGGATGTAGATGCTGGAAAAACCAAGAAAACCAATCTTGTTCATGTAGTATGGTTCCCTGACCTCACTTAAGATGAAACAGCAATTTATAGACTTTGGGAATTGTAAGGTCAGAGAATCAGTCTAGCAGGCTAGTCCCCCGTCACAGGTTTGTAATCAATTGCAAAGAAAATGCGGAATAACTAAATATGAAAAAAATAGGAGCAATTTTTGAAGAAAAAAAAATAGTATCCTCCAACGCTGGTCGGCTGACCAGCGTTGGAAAAATACTGTTTTTCTTGAAAATGTAGGCACACCAGGAGCCACGATTCTACAGGATGCTTTAGACTGTCATTCCCTAACAATCCAGTAAGGTATTTTGAGACAATTTGATCATTTCGTTTTTTGATGTTTGCAAATGTTGTATCTTCCCTTTAACCATAGTTTCCCGAACCATGCTCAATTTAACAATATTCTGCATAATTCATGAACCCTTGTACAACGTTTGAAAACATCCAACATCAAAACTACCAAATTACTGTTTACCAGACTGTAACTGAATAATAATCTATTTAAAGCATTCTGTGAAATCATGGCACCTGGTGTGCTGTCATTTTAAAAAAAAAAGTGGAAATTTTGTATCAATTTCCAACGATGTTCGGCTGACCATAGTTGAAAAAAACCTGACTTTTTTCAATACCAGCCTGACAATTCTCTGACGTCTAAAATTGCTCTGTTTTGTCTGAAGTAGGGTCAGGGAACCAGACTACAAGAACAGCACTTATTTTCTTGTTTTTTCCAGCATCCATGACCATGAAAATTTCAACAGCACAGTGTCACAATATTTGCTATGAAAGACTAACCCCCAAATCTGTCCATTTCTGAAAATTACAGCTAAAAACAAACTCTTGTATATATTTAAGGGTTAGGGGTCTGAAGTCCGGGGTAAAAGTAATAGTGGCTCAGCCAAACCTTCTTCAATCCTTTGAAACCCTTCAAAAACTCCTGATGGAGTTTGAAGGATCTGGGAAGGGCTTGGCTAACTTTTTTAAAAACTTTTGCGTGCTCAATGAAAATGTTTGGGTGGTACGTGATGTGCACAGTCTTGGCACATGCACTCTATACAAAGTCCACTGATAAGAACCTATGAAAAATGTATTTGTTCAAATCACTTGTCATAGACACTGTAGAAAAGCATTTAAATAAAAACACCTAGGCCTGCCATACAGTAGCTGAAGTTAGAATAAGAGAATTTTTTCATTTTTGAACTATAATGTTTTTTGGAAAGAATATAATTGTTTTCAATGTCATAATGACCAAATAAACAAACTAACAATATTTACATTGTAATCATTGATACCAAGAAGTTGAGAAGTCTAAGCTCTTGTGCAGTGTTTACTTAAAGGGAATATACAACATTTGCAAACATCAAAAAACAAACTACCTAATTTTTACGAAATACCTTAATAGGATGTTGGTAAATGACAGTCTAAAGCATCCTGTAAAATTATGGCACCTGGTGTGAAGTCATTTTTAAGAAAATGGTATTTTTGTAAAAATTTCCAGCGGTGGTCGGCCGACCACCGTTGGAAAAACTTAACTATTTTTCAACTACTGCTCCAAATTTACCATTAATTCAGTCCAAATTGTGTTTGCTATTGGTTACATGTTCATGAACGGGTGCAGGCCAGCTAGACTGGTACCCTTACCTTACAATTTTCCGGCATCTGTAAATTGATCCATTTTATATTTAGTGGAGTCAGGGAACCAGACTACTTGAACAGTTTGTTTTTCTTGGTTTTTCCAGCATTTTCGAACACAAAACGTCAAACATGTCAGTGTAACAATATTTCATCTATTATACTAACCCCTGAAATAGTTCATTTCTGAAAATTACAGCAAAAACCAATGATGTACATTCCCTTTAAGTTTCTTTCTCAGAAAACAATGCTTTCAAAGGGTAAGACTTATGTGTGGTATTGTAAGCCCAGGTATAATGCAGTGTGTACACACACAACTTCACAAGTTACCTAATTCCAATGTGTGTGTAGTATGGCCTATTCATTGCACACCGCACACAATACACAGCTGGGACCTTGTATTGTGACTGCGCTACAAATGCTGCTTACATAAGCTGTGGTTCACATGTATGATGTAATGCCATAGTGGTCTTGCATATATCCTTCAGGACTAGAGAATTACACAAATTTCATATCCCCATATGCCACTCTCTCATAATCAGACAAAAGCAGATATAAAATTGCATTAAATCTTCCAAAATTGTCCAGAAACTGAAGTTTTATTAACAACAATTCCTGACTGTTTCCACAGCCTCACAGGCCAAAGAGGTTCTGATAAAAATATGCAAATTTCAAGGTACTGGTATCAAAGTCCAAATTTCAGGAGTTTCTACTAATTTCAATATTAACTAGTGAGCTATTGTTTTTTTTTAGACACGAATGTTGCAACTTGACGCTACCGGTACTTCAGCAGTTGTGTGCAAAGTCTATGGAGAGTCAAGATTTTTTTTAGAGTATTTCCTAACAAAATTGGAAATGTTTCTCAGTCCCTGATTCATGTCTTATCGCCACTTTTGCAATTACGGACCTTCATTGAGAATCTACATGTATAAAGAAAATAGCAGAGTCAGGTTGCAACATTCTTTCCCTTTTTTAATTAATTTCAACAGAAAGCTAGCACAAAGAATTCCCTTTGTGAAATTACCCAGCCTTGTAGTTTAAAGGATAAAAAAACCATGTACGTGTGGTACCAAAAACGAACACTGATGAAATTTGCTTTTCTAGTCCAGAGTTTGCGTACACTTGCACAACGTTTTTTGGTTTTTCCAGTACATCATTTACATAAAGTTTTGTACTTTTTACCTCAGACCATGAAATACAGTTGCAATGCCATCTCTGTATCCATTTGGCCTACTTTAAAGGACCTTGAATCCCAGGTCAGTGCCCAGATCATTATGACTTGACTACACTCCCAATCCTAATGGCCTGTTCATATATACTCGGCGCGAACACATGTACATATGTATGTGAATGCTAATGAGTGATGACATGGCCTATTCGAACTGCGGATTTGCAAAAGTTGAACACGTTTCAACTCTAGAGAATTTCGCAGTGAACGTTTCAAGCATCAAGGTAAGTTCTCATCCATATTTGCGTTAAGTTGAACTGGTAGTGGTACACCCCCTCCAAAAAAAAATAGCCTGAAAGAAAAACAACTTTTGTTTTTAATCTTAAAACTTAAATGTGTCTACAGAGTACAGGCGTGACACTGACAGGAGTGAAGTTGAAACTCCAGCCCAGGGCCACTACACTACGTATTTAATTTTCTGTGAATCATGTAAAAGCTGTGGTAACACTTAACTTAGACAGGACAATGTACACCAAAAAGGTTTATCATGACACCCACACGTACACCTTGACCTTGTAAAGTTGTTGTACACAATCACTTTTGCATAGGCCGAATTATTCATGCATATTTTTGAGTTGAGATCACAATTCACATTCACAATTTTTAATTAATTAATTTTTTTAATGATTATTACTTATGAAAAAATGATTTTGAATTACACCTCTGTGATTAATCCCTCAGTCAACTTGAAATTAGTTCACAAGTGCAGAAGTCATGGAAGTGTAGGCTTATCCATTTAAATCTATGCATTGACGCGTACGCGTGCAGTGCAATGGAGATCAATGGCACTGCTGCAGTGCTGTATGAATGAATGATGTAACTGGCGCTAGCCGAATATATCCACTCGAAATCACCCCAAAAATGTCGCCTCTTACCGGCACTGTCCGCCGATTTTACGGCACCAGGTCCGTCGCATGACTGCTGGCTTGCAGACAGCACCTCCTTAGTTGGACTTTCATTCTCCGATTTGCTGCTTTCCACCACGGAATCTTCGGCCATCGTGATCAGAAGAAGAACGATCAGCCGGCGAATTTCGAGCACGTGTATACGGTACCGGTGAAGTTTAGTGTGATCGCACTGCACTGCACTACACACATGCAATGGGTACCCGTCCAAAATTTTCCATGCAGTTGTATCGAACGTGTAGTACGTGCGTGCAAACGGTACCGGTCCAAGCCGGTCGATTTCATCATTGCATGCCATCTACATACCGCCCTCTCCCGGAGTCATGTGCCCCGCCCCCGACCAGCCCACAAAATAATGATGTAAAAACCTGTAAAATTCTGCCTAAGTTTGGATCGTGTTTCTATTCGAAAATATAACAATTGGACATGAAATATCGATTTTGCTGATGTCATTTTTTTTCAAAAGTTGCATAATTTACTTATGAGAAAATCGATCATACACTGCACTCAACGGGTGCCGGAAATTGCTCATAAATCATTATATTCAATGTGCCTTTCAGACCAGATTTTGTTTTGGATACTATGATTACCTTATTTATTTATTTCTTATTTATCCTGGGTGATCCAATCAATGAGAAAAACTCACTGATCTCCCATGAATCCCAGCTCACACAAAATTACTATTAAAATACAATTAAAATATTGAGAGTACAATGGAAGAATGTTAAAAATTCATTCAAATAAACTTAAATGAAATAGGAATTAGGGCCTACACATATGATAAACAGACATTACAATACAATACAATACGAAACATCACTGCAAGATAATATCGCCCCCCCCCCCCCGTTTTTCGTTTCTTTCTTTCCTTTTTCCCTTTTCTCTGTTTGAGTTGTTTGACGAAGTAAATAAGACTTGTTGGATGGGGAGATTTCAAGTGTTGCGTTAAGTTATTCCAAGCCTGGGCTTAGATCCATAATAACCATAATATAATGAGTTCAACTTCTTAATTTCCATAATATTATTAGTTCAACTCTTGGCTTTCCAGACCTCAAGACTTGATGCTGGGGCACTTTCCCCGGTACATCGGTCCGACCACCCGGCATCATTTTTGCCATTTGAAGCCGTCATCGAATATCCACCGTCATATCATACTAACGCTCAAGCACTGTTCTTTATAAATCATTATAACAAAAAATTATGACGCCCACTTACTTCGATTTTTCCACTCCTTCTCCATAATTCTAGACCTACACTGTAAAACAAGGTTGGATAAAACACTGTTGGGCAATGTAATTTACCCAGCACTGGTATGAAATTACCTCATATTGGGTTGAATTGGGTAAAAAACTGTCAAACTATTGGGAAGAACTTGCCCAAGAATGTCAGTTGATAATTCGACCAGCATTGGTCAAATTATCAAACCATTTTACGAGTGACGCGCTATCATCAATAAAATATGTGCATCATGAACAGCGCACCTTTATAAGTTGTCCTGGTTAATGTTGTTTTCGTCTGAGTCTTATATATATATATTTTTTTTAAGAATTAAGGATGAAAACGTACTGTGCACATTAAAATGTTTGATTACAGCTACAGATACGTCTTTATATAATCTACCCGGAATGCCATTTCCACTTCCTTTACAAGATGATGGGAAGCTAATCAGCCCTTCCCAACAGCGCCCTGTTTGCAGGGCGGGGATACGAATGAATAAATCAAGTAGTTATTTCACACCAAGACAAACTTACTTGCGCGCGTGCCTCCTTTATGTTTCGTTCAATAGAGGGCGTGCCACATAGATAGTTGTCTCCACAAAGCTTCAACACGGATGCTGCACTTTTGAACAAAATCGTTTCCGATGAATAACTCAAAAAATTCCTGGATGAATTAAATTGAAATTTCGTGCAGTGATTAACCATGATGTGTAACATAAGTGTATTGAATATCACGAGAAACCGTAGAACAGTAAATATAACATGATCGTAACAATGTGGTGTTTTGAACGCGACAAACCCACGTCGACTTGCATTCGGATTGTATTGGTCGCGCTCAAAACACTGTGTTGTTACGGCCATAATAGCTTCATTATTTGACGGTTTCTTATGAAATTAAATCTCGTCATGTTAAACATTATGGTTAATAAGTGGACGAAAATTCAATGGAATCCGGTTATGGCGTGTCAAACGTTGCAATATTCAATATTTTGCAATATATATGTTGGATGTTCAATATGTGTTTGTTATCAGTTTTACATTGATGTGCGATGTTCAATATAAGTGTGCGATGGTTTTTCAGCATTTGCGCGATGTTTAATATATTTGTGCGATGTTTTACAATATATGTGCGATGTTCAATATATGTGTGCGATGTTTTACATTTACATGCGATTTTCAATTTATATGTGCGATGTTTTTGACGATATATATGTGCGATGTTTTCAATATTTTGTTCGATTTTTTGCATTAAATGTGCGATGTTTTTCGATACAATTGTGTGTGTTGTTTTACAATATATTTGCGATATTCTCAAATATGTGAGCAATGTTTTACACATATGTTTGACATTTCGAGCTATTTGTATTCGATGTTTCATCGGTATGTTTACATTCGATCTTTTGCAATATGCATTTGATGTTTCCCTTTTCATTCGATGTTTCGTTAAGAGTCAAAGTCTGGTTACTAGACCGCGAAAGTCTGACTATTTTGCCTAAAGTCAGTGTATGAGACGTCAGGGGATCGCGTAAAGTAATTAGAGCCAGACCTAAACGGTAAAAACCGGAATTGTGGGTAATTCTTTAAGCATACGCAATGCGTTCATCATTGTTTGGGCAGCAACCCCAGCTGTGCCTGTACTACCCATAGTGTTATGTGCATCATCTATGCATTGAGGAGTGCATGACACATGGTCTGAGCTCCAAGGCCGATGTGCACCTGTCCCGTTTAATGATCCAGTTACCTGATAATTTGTGAGCAAAAGCTGATGTAAAATTGGGCAAAATGAGATGTTTATGAAAAAAAATCAAATTGTGAGGGATTAAACTTGCATTTTTTTTTAGCAAAATCGGGAAAAATCAGATGTTTCTTGAAAATTGCAGATTGTAAGGGGTTAGATGTTTATGAAACATTTCAAATTGTCAGGGGTGAACATTGCATATTTTAGCGAAATTGGGCAAAATCAGATGTTTCCGAAAAATTTCAGATTTAAGTGATAAACCTTGCTTTTTTGGTGAAATTTTGCAAAGTTAGATGTTACGAAAAATTTCAAATTGAAAGTGGTTAACCTCGCATTTTTTTTTAAAGCGAAAATGGGAAAAAATCAAATTTTTCTGGAAAATTGCAGATTGTAAGGGGCTAACCTTGCTTTTTGAATAAGATTGGGAAAAATTAGATGTTCATGAAAAAAATTCAAATTGTAAGGGGTTAACCTTGCATTTTTTTTAGCAAAATAGGAAACAATCAGATGATTCTGGAAAATTGCAGATTGTTAGGGCTTAACCTTGTATTTCTAGCAAAATTGGGCAAAAAGAAATGTTTATGAAAAATTTTAAATTGTAAGAGGTGTACCTTGTATATTTAGTAAAATTTGGCACGATCAGATTTGTATGAAAAATCTAAAATGGTAAGGGGTTAATCTTGCTTTTTTAGCAAAATTTAGAACATATTTTACTAAAATTGGGCAAAATCAGATGCTTCTAAAAAATCCAGATGTAAAGTTTCCGCAAAAACAGCTGTTGAAAAAGAGCCCAATGTTGAACTTTACTGAGTCTGAGGTCTATCGAGGGGACGATCCTTATTTCAACTCCCGGAGATTCGCTGACAGTCTCTATTTTTCTTTTTAAGAAAGTCGAAATAGCTGAAGAGGAAGTAGCCTTGGTCAAGGCGCTATAACAGTTATTCATCCCGGCCGTGGCGCGTAAACGATATCCTCGCTAGGGCCATGCATTGTGCAGTGCATTAAAAATACAGCGCGAGCAGCGACCTCATGCGGCCACCATTTCTATGCAAATTAGTTGGACCCAATATCGCGCCTTGGTTCAATCGTCGGCAAAAGATTATGTTTTTCTTTATTTTGCGCTGGATTTCTAGCGCACGACCTCGTATGCGAATACAGATAAGTGTAGGCGGGGCTAATATGTGGAGTGTCCAATCACACCTTGGTAAATCCGGACGTCATCAAATTGTTTGCAGCTAGCTATTCGCCTTTTGCGGACGTGACAGGAACCAAAGTTTTTGTGCATTGGTGCCGTGTGCAGAGACACATAACGTGTACGTGTACATGTATAGATTATGTACGGTGCCACGTTTTACTAAGCAAGTTTCCTCACAACGATCGACCAATAAGAAAACGACATTTAAGGTCAGCTATTAAGGCTATTAACATAATGAGCACCACCCCCAAAACCTCACATGGACGATTGAACCAAGGCGCTATATTGGGTCCAACTGATTTGCATAAAAATAGTGGCCGCGTGAGGTCGCTGTTCGCGCTGTATTTTTAATGCACTGTACTGCATGCATAGCGCATAGACATTATGACTGCATGCATTACCGCGCCACGGCCGGATAAAAAAACAACTAGCGCCTTGACCAAGGCTAAAGAGGAAGGTGAGAATCTATATGTGCCCAGATACAAAGAGTAGAAATCTACGCGTCTGCCTTTTGAAAATACACAATTGCGGTGTTCATTGTTGCGTAATGATCCGCCTAGCACACGACTGTTTTGCACATTAGGCTGTGTTATGCAGCTTCCTAACAAACCAAACACACTGGGCTCATTATATCGACTTGTTTTTACCCATTAAGGTAAAGCAAATGGACCCAGTAATCTTCCTGGCGCGTTTGCTCACCTATAAAGACAACTTTTCTCAGTTTAAGAAAATTCTAAGGTAACGAAATGGCCGAGTGGTTACGATTCGTCGTCCACGGTTAGCGGGGTCCCGGGTTCGAATCCCGCTGGTGTCTTTTTGGTTTTTAACGTATGAGTTCAATTATTCACTATAAGAGATTTAATTTCCCGTCGTAAAGTACCAACAGTACCTTAGCTTAATCGGTAAGCACTGCTGCTGGTACTGTCCGCGAGTTCCAGGTTGGCGCCTTCGTACAGGTTCAGGGCATGTGGTCCACTCGGAGGATCAGGGCTTAGGGGCCGCCCTGTTCCTCCCTTAGCTCTTTGCTTTTACATGGTGCCT